GGTGCCGCCTCATGGCCGAAGTGGCCCGGCGGGGGCCACGCACGCGTCCCCATGCGCAGCACAGTGAGGGCCCCGCGGGCGTCACAATGGGCGCCCCGGCCTGGCCCTCTGGGCGAGCGCGCGCGCCTCGGCCCGCGCCCGCCTTCTGTCCTCTCGCGCTTCGCCGAAAGCCCGCGGCAGGTCTCCACCTGGTCCCTTGCCTGCTTTCTTTCGCCCCTAGACGAGCATTCGACTCTCTAACCCTTCTGCTTCAAGCCCAACATGGAGCATGGAACGGACGTGGCTTACTATGGAACGTTGGCGTCCCTCCTTGTGCATCCTCGGAGGCGACTTGAGGCACGCGGCAACAGCAGCACGTGCCCCGTCACCCTCATCCTCCTCCCTTTAGAACAGATGAGCAAGTGTTTTTGGAACAGTGATTTAGAAGCGATAAGAGGTTTTGAACCGGTAGGTTACCCTTTCCGATCTGTTCAACTCAATGAGACTTAATTGCAATGGACTCAATCCAGCCAGATACAACTCCCCCGATCCCCCCCCCGTCATCCGATACCCATCGCGGGGAGGTTCGCAAGAATGTATTGGCTGACTTAGTCCGCCAGACAGAAAGCTGTTGATCAGTATCAGCTGGTGACTTTTATTCTACCAATCTATTCGGATTTTGCTTTGGGTTTTTATTCTACTTTTTGGCTGTAATGGGCAGCTGTTGGACTGCAGCTCTCATCAGCATAACCAGTGGTGAGCAATGATGTGAACTAAACTCCAGTTCCATGACATCTGGAGGGCTAACAAGATTCTTATCATTGCTTTGTTGAACATCTGAGCAAAGAAAATGATGGTACAACTGGAGTGCCCACCCACCTTGGTCAGGGACAAGAACGGCATGTAGGTTGAAGATTAATGTTCTAGAAAAATGGCATATAGTCCAGGGCCTGCCCTGCTATAAGAAAGGGTAAGGGAAACATGAAAGGCTGCATGAGAAGGAATAAATTTGTTTTCTCTTTAATTTATTATTACTATATTTTTACTGGTAGTTTTAGAAGAGGTAGCAGTGTTAGCCTGTGCTAGCATATAGGCAAAAACAAAACAAAAAGACAAAAAAGTTGTGGCAGCTTAAAGACTAACTGCTATATTTTAATGTGAGCTTTCGTGGAAAAGTCCACATCCTCAGGTCTGTCTTGCCAGCTTGGGTCTGCTCTCTAGTGCACACTAGTTCAATTCATTTGGTGGGCTAAATACATGAGGAACAAGAGTGAGCTAGCCTCTCCTCTGTTGTCATTGCCCCCCCTTCACAATGTTGACAAGTCAGAAGAGAGATTTGTTAATCCCTGAAAGCTTTCCACCTAAACCAGACCCTTGATTTTCCTGTGTTCTGGCTTGCTTTGAAAGCTTCCTCTCTTCTAACCTCACTTCTTGTGATCAAAACAATGATAGAGGGGGTTGAGCTACTTTGCTTTCCTTCTTTATGCTTTTAGGGCTAAAGTCTTCTGAACAACACCCAGCACTCCTTGCCTGAGGTTGACCCTGTTTTTAGATCGGTGTCAGTTCTCAGCTATTCCATGCTATATTGTCTTTGATTTTTAAGATACATGTCAACAGGCCTACTCTAGTTGCAACGTCTGTTGAGCAACAGGATTTCATTTCTGTACCTGCATAAGTGGATTGTAATCCATGAAAGTTCACAATGAAGTACAGTTGTTAATCTTAAATGGACCATAACACTTTTTGTTTTTGTTGCTGAGTCAAACATCTCAGTTGTTTGACCTATCTTCTAAACTAATTTTTTTTTCATGCTAGCTCTTTTCCATGCAACTTCCTTCATTCCAGAGATGCTAGCAAGGCTCTGGGCATCTGTCCGAGCCTGGTACCAAGTACCAAGTCTGAGTCTTTGTTGCTAAGTCACGAGTCCCAAGCCCCAAGTCTTGAGAACCTATTAAAAACAAGCTTTTTCCTCCAGGAAAAAAAGGGAGATGTGGGTGTGTTCGGAGTCAAGTCTGTCATTAAAAAGCAAAATAAAAACAAGTCTTGACAGCGAGTCTTGTGACTTAAGTCCCTGTCCCTGCTGCATTCCATTCTGCAGGTCCATTGCTGATTTAAGTTCATTTTCCCTTGTCTCTATTTTTATTATTATTATTCAACAGCTTTGCCATATCTGCTCATTTTGTTCCTGGTTTAGTTTTTGTATACCAACATCTCTGTTCATTCTCTCTCTCATATTTCACTTGCTATTTTTTTTGTGCTGAAAATATTAAATAAAAAATTGCATAAAGTCTACTCCATGTGTTTAAGAAATATTCCGTTGTGAGTCCATAAGAAATAATCTTTAGAGAGTCCAGCAGAGAGCACTAGGGGGCCATCAGAAGAAGACTAATGTGAGAAGTACCCTGAGATCAAACAGAAGCGGAAATGCAATCACTGTCTTTCCCATTCTTTTAACATGGAAAACTAAATTAAAACGATCAGTGTTTTTAGTAACATGTTGCAATAAGTTTTAGTAAGTCTTTTGTGGAACCTGTGCCAGTTTATTTCCTGCTTGTGAAGAACTGCATTCTGAGATGAATTTTTAAGAAAAATAGTACTGTACTGTATAGGCACTATTTAGGGAAAAGGTGCCTGTTTTGAGTCACTCCAGTTAGTAAAACAAAAGAAACTAACCATACAAGCTCCACAGCATGTGCTAGCTCTATACCATTTCTTATCAGCCATCTGGAAGGTGGAAGACCATTCTTAATTCACACTTGTACAAATCTATGAAGATTTTATATAATACACATAGTTCACATGTTCTTCCTATATCTCATCAAGCTTCTTCTCCTTTTTGGTGATCATATGAATAAATAACCTCCAAAATGTCCAGTCTTGCAAATGAGAAGTTGTGGCTTCATTTACAGATACAATCCATCTCATGTTGGGTCTTCCTTCAATTTATCTTAATTTCACATGCAGTTCTCCCAATTAAGAATAGCCAAATTTCTTCATAGAAACAAATAAAAAGTAGAACAAAGATAACCTGCATATAAAGAATCTCTGGCAGATAATTGTGAGGGATAATGGTGTTTTGGCTAGGTCTGAGTTAAATTGTAGATTGTAATATTTATAAAATACTCCCCAATATTTGTGTATGGTAAGATCTTACCATATTTGCGAGAGGCAATCTGAAGCAGTGTGAGACGAGTGCAACATATTCCTTCATATGAAGAACTTGCGTGCTTGAGGCACCCTGTCCATTTGGAAGCAAAATTGATGTTTTGGACCACTCAAGAGAAGGTAATTGGGTTTTAGATGTTAGGAGACTCCCTATGTATGCAGGCTTTTAATTTAAAGAAAAAAAAATACATTTTTAATTCCTAAAGTATTCTGACAAGGACCTACGAGCTTCCAAAATGGGCAGCAGGACGAGAATTAGTTCCCTGCTAACTTCCATGCTGGACTCCACCATAGCCAGTGCCAGTGCTTCTGGCCAGATTTCTGGTGCCAGTGCTGTTGCAGAGCTGATGCATGTTTTCTCTTCATCAGAAATAAATGAAATAAAATAATGTACAATCAAATGTATTCTGTTGAAATCACTGCATCTTAAGAACATCTTAAGCATTGCTCTAGTTTAGCACTTGGCCCATGGGTAAAGTCAGAAATAGATCTAATTGAATTATGGCAATAAAGATGATTGGACAGCACTCACACACTCATGCAAGCCACTCCAGTTCAGTTCAGCAGTTATTTTCCTAAATCTGGCTTGGCAGCTAGTACATTGAATGATTACTGCATGTTTGACAAGGCACATGTTAACATGAGCTAGGGACTAATTCTTTGGTCTGACGCCTCCTTCCCCTCCTCTGAACGTTAATGATGTCTGTCCCAGAAGAATGAATGAAAAGTACATCCATCCCCTGTGGCTTTGTGCAGATGCTCAGAAGTGAAAGCTGAATTTGCCCAAGAGAAATCTCACAGCTATAGGGCCATCTGGTTATACTGTATAGCATAAACTTTAATCTGTCCAGCCAAATGCTTGGCAGATCTGCTACTGATAGGGAGAGATTTCTTGTTCCTAATGTTAGATACGGCCAACACCTCTCACTAAGAAGAAACAGCTGCAAATGCAGAGTAGGCCAAGCATTTTATTGGAATTTAAGAGCGTTTCTTGATTTCGTGAAATCAAATTGCCATAATTCAATTGAGCATAACAAGCAAAACTGACTAGTTGCTACATAATGAGAATGTAAAATAGCTGTGTTTATGTGATAAGAAGTGTCTCACTGTACCAGACAAAGAAAAGTTTGCAGACCCTTCTATCATTGTATTGCATCCAATTATTACAGATAGAGCCTGAAATCCCCCAAATTATATAAATATTGTATAAAAATTTCAGGTAGGATTCCCAAAGAATATTGATTCAGAGAAGCACATATATCTGAGCACAGATTTTTAATAAGTATGATGGGATTGAAGCTCTTGGGTGCCTTTGAAATACAGCTGCATCTCTGCAGTGAGGGAGAAATTGCACTTTACAAAGAATTCTAAACATTTGGAAAGGGCTGGGATGTTGCATATTGCTGTGATGATCAGCAGTGTTGCTCTTTTGGCAGTAGCTGTCTAGAACAAGACAGACAAGGCTGCAATTCTACCTCAACTATAGGAATGACACTGTTCTAATTAGTTTTTGTTTTTTGGCTTGGTTTCTTGCCAGGAATACGATACCCGGACATCAAGTACAGGAAGTGGCATTTATGGGACCTGCCAAACATACACAAGAGGAGGCAGACTTTAGGTTGCAAATCTGTCGGCAGAGTTATGTTAGAATAGGCACAGGACTTTCCCTAGAAAGATGAAATTTGTTTATCTGAATGTGACCTTACAGTATCAGCTATTTCATTTTTAAAATGTTTTGCTTATTGCAAGAATAATATATAAGGTCAAAATGTGTGTGTGTGTGTTAATCACAACAAAAAAAAATACAAAATTTTGGCTGTATTGTGCT